GCTTCCACTTGGTAAATCCCTCAGGTAAAGAGATACCAGTTTCAACTTTTGGCAGGAACTTTGGTTTTTGTGAGATCTGGGTTCAGGACAATGCATAAATTTAGGGGATCCAAGATCTGGGTGGAAGACGTTTATGAGAATTTGTCTTTTCCACATATCAGCTCTCTCCTCTCCTTCACTTCTATGCCCTGCTCTTGAGGCCCTTCCTCTATTTCTCCTCCTCCTTACCCACAAGTACAAGTAACAAAATAGAAGGTAAAAATCAGGGGTCATGTTTTTAAGACTGTAATCTTGAGCTGTGCTACTGTCTGATTTTTAACATGTAATGGTAAACAAATGCAAAACATTTATCCAAAGGAGTGAGTTTATGCACCAATTTTTTCTTTTTCTCCAGCATACCAAATTACATTGGAATATCTTTTTTTTTCTTATGGATAAATTTCATCAATACTGAGCAAAACAATCTACAACACTTCACTCTTTTTTCGCGACACAGTGAGTTATACACAACACACTTAAATATGGTTGCTTGTGTCCTTAAAATGTAACAAACAAGTAATATAATTTAGCATACCCGATAGATCTCCTGACTGAATTTACCAATTCCTTTTTGTTTGAAGGTGTGGTCTGTGAAATTTATGAATTCAAAATATTTTCTTTAAATCTTACTCAAAGGTAAACAGGAAGGATTCCAAGTTCATAAAATCATAATAGAAAGTAAACAACTCATAAGTGAAATAAATCAGAGTCTCATGCATAAACATTGTATTGTTTCTCTAATGTAAAAAACTGAGAGGAAATAGGATCCCAAGTGTGCAACAGATATTGTGAAAGTGACAGGGGAAGAAACTACTCAAAATGAAGAATGACTGGGATGAGGGAAAGGAGAAAATAAAGAAGGGGAAAGATATTTATATGTATATATGTGACAGATAACTATACTACTAATGTCTGGTAGTTCACCAAAAAGAGTAGTTTGTGCTTCCATTGTTTGATCATTTTTTTTCATGCTGATATCTTGCAATCTGGGGAACTACTTTGAGGATAACAATATGCACTGTATTAACCATTGCTAATCTCTGATTATGTTGTTTTGAAATTCTATATCATTGTTTTTCTTCTTTTCTCATTTTAAAATTTAAAAAAAATACCCCCAATTTTTTATTTTATATCTAAAGCTAGGTGAAAGACCTGGTCACATGTGTACTTAATATACATTTACTGAGCAGTGCAGGTGTCAGAGAACAGGATGCTCACCTATGAGTGTACCCAGCTACATGGGTCCATTCACATCCCACAGTGCTCTCCGGGTACTGATACTTGGTACAGAAACATAAAAGTGGTTGCCAGCATTTGTAACCCAAATATGTGGGTGACAACACAATGAAATGAGATGAAAATTCATGTGATTTTTTTCAATACTTCTTAAGGCTACAGTCAGAGACCATTTAATTAAAGAAGTAACTCTACTAAGTGCTGCTTGAGAGCTGAGGACATGGCTCAGTGGGGAAGTGTGGTTCTCTCACATGTCCCTCAGTAGGATAGAACTGATAGCCCTCAACACATATTTCACTAAAATATCTAACTCCATAGAGCACAAACATGAAATTGAAGAGAAAATAATAGGTCCACAAACATTACTGAAAATTTCAAAACACCTCCCTCCATAACTGACAGCTAAAGGTAGAAAACATTTAACAGAACAGTTAAAATCAGCAACATCATTGTTCAAGTGGAGTATTACACTGTACATAATAACTTCAGATTGCATCTCCTCTGAAAATTATGAGGAACATTCACCCAAATGCACCACTCATAGTGACAATAAAGACTTTAACATATCCAGAGAAAGGGAAACCCTGCAAAGTAAGCTCCCAGGCCACATTAGACTGGAACTAGAAATCAAAGCAGAAACAGAATACAGTAATTTTTCCTCTCTTTTTTTCCTATTTTATTTTATTTTGTACTTTATTTGTATATAAAGTTTTTCATATAAGAGAAATCATGTGGTGTTTAAGTTTGTGCATCTGATTTACTTCACTTAACATTATGGTTTTAAGGTGCATCCATTTTCCTGCAAATGATTCAAGTTTATCCTTCTTTACGATGGTCTAATAAACCACTGTGTAGAATACAATATGCTCTTTATCCATTTATCTGTTGATGGATATACAGGTTGTTTTTGTGATTTAGCTTTTATGAATTGTGTTGTTATAAATAAACATGGGTATGCATACCTCACTATGATATGATGTTTTTAACTCTTTTGGAAAGATACCTGGAAGGGGAATAGCTAAATCTAAGGGAATATCTACTTTAACTTTTGGAAAAATATACACACTGATTTCCATAGTGGTTGTATCAGTTTACTCACCAATAATGGAGAATTTTCTTACAGCATTTCTTTCTAGCATTTGTTATCAGTTGATCTCTTAATGGTAGCTATCTTTTTTGAGTAAGATGAGATCTTAATGTTGTTTTAATTTGCATGTCCCTAAAGTGTAGCAATGATGAACATTTTTGATGTATTTATGGCTGTTAATATTTCTTTATTTGATGTATCTATTCATTTCAGATGCCCATTTTTGAATGGGTCTTTAAACTTGGGGAAGTCTAAATTTTTTGAGTCCTTTATAAATTCTAGAGGTTAGTCTTTTATCATGGGAGTACCTGGAAAAATTTTCCCGTTCTGTAGATTTTTTCCTCATTCTGTGGAAAAGCTTCATTTGCTGTGGAAATGCTTTTTAATTTGGTGCTATCCTTTTTGTTGACTCTTGGTATTATTTCTTATGCAACCAAGGTTTTGTTCACAAAGCCTGGGCTGGACTAGGGCTTCAATAGTTTTGCCTATTTTTACTTCTAGCAGATTGTTTCTGTTCTAATGTTGACGTCTTTTTTAATCCATTTTGATTCTGGTTTAGTGCACACTGAGACATAAGTTCTACTTTCAGCATATGAATAGCTGGTTTTCCCAATACGACTTGTTAAAGAAGCTAAGTCCTCCAGTGAAGGGATTTGGCCTCTTTGTCAAAGACAGTGTAACTGAGTGTACCCAGAGTGTTCTGTTCCACCAATCCACAAGTCTGGTTGTTTTTGTCAACATAATGCTGTTTTTAATTACTGTAGCTTTGTAGTATAATTTGAAGTCTGGGATTGAAATACCTTCTGCCTTGGCCATGTTGCCCAGAATTACTCTGCTAATTTATGTCTTTCCTGGCTCCATATGGATTTGAGGATTGATTTTGTTAATTCCATAAGAAACATTACTGGTATTTTGATTGGGTTTGCATTAAATATATTTAAAAGATTAGAAATATATTCATTTCTGTTATACTGGCTTGCCTATCAGGGATATCTTTATGTTTTATGATATCCTTATTCAATCTCCTTTTTCAGAGTACTATAGTTTTCATTGTCAAGTTCTTTCTATGTCATTTTTGTGTGTGATGCTGGGAATTGAATCCAGGGTTTGTGCAAACAAAGCAAGAACTCTACCACTGAGTGACATCCCCAGCCTTCTACCTCATTTTTAATTATTATTTTTATGAAATGTTTTATTGTAATCATTGGTCAATTATTTCCTTGCAAGGAAGGACAATTGTGGAATGAAGCAAAGCCATAGATGTTATCTACTGTAAACCCATCAGTGAGCTCTAACTGGCTGATGTCTACTGGGAAAAAAGTAAAGATGAAAAAAGAAAAAAAACAGAAAAGAAAAATGATATCCTTATAGTATTTTGAAATTGACTCACTAATTTGACTATTTCTCTATATCATTTCCCATTATAATTTGATACTGGCTACCCCTTAACTCTGTCTACCCCAAAGCAAGCAAATTAAAGATAAAGCTGTTTATCCTATTAGCCCTAGGTAAGTCATGCTGCATGTACACTGAGTGTGAATCCACACCTGCCTAGAGGTAAGGATGCCTGCCTCTCAATAGAGCTGATGATTTGTCATGAATATGGTTAGGCAGAACAACTTTACCCATTCTGGCATTCCCAGTCATAGCCACAGCTGTTGTGTATGTTTATTTGTAATAGTAAATCAATGATACTAACATCTACTGAACAATTACTACATGCCCGATCAGGCACTAAGTATTTACATGAATTTCCATTTATTATTCTCTCAGTATGTCAAGAGTTTCAGAGTTCTTATTTTCCTTCATGCATTAAAAGTAAATCATGTTTAGTTTTTTAAAGCTACAGACTAGCTGTTAGAGAAAGCAGGTATAAGAAATAAAATTCCAGGGCATAAACTCTAAACTATGTTAATATACTTCTTGCCAAGAACCAACACACCTTAAAATTAAGAGAATCTTTGGAATTAAAAGGGAGCTATACTCATGCATTATATGAAGGCTCCCCTAGGGAGACTTGTGGCATAACATCAGAGATATATATGTTTCTGATCAATAAATAAGTCAGAATTAGAAATTATATTATATATTATAATTATATTATATCCCACATTATTTGAAGAAGATGTATGAAATATAGTTGTTGAAAGTTTCATGAAATGAAACGGTATAGGTAATTTTTTATGAGAAAAAGAAGAAAATTGTAATTATACTAAGAGTAAAAACCAGAATAGAGATTATTACAGATTTATTTTGGAAAGATTTTATCTATACACTCATGGTTGTAAAACAAGTCATATAGTGAACTATCAGAAATTGTTTAAGCAACATTGAAGTTCAATCAATATTCTATACTTCAATTCAATAACTTTAGCATTTCTATGGCATAAAATAAAAGTCACCAGTCAATTTAACTCATAATTCTAACAAGACTTCCTAATAAATTGCTAATCCATAGCACAAAGTAGGTTCTTGAAAATTTGAAATGAGGACACTTTCCACAGAAAGATTGTGACCTATATCTCTCTTCCCAGTATGCACTGGAGGTATGAATCATAAAAAAAGATAATGATATGATTTCATCTGAGTCAAGAGTGTTCTCTCTTGTTTCCTTCCTGATTTCAGGAGTACTGAAGCAATGATTGTAGAAGGAAATATTACAGAGATCACCCAGTTCATCCTCCTGGGATTCTCAGATTTTCCCAGAATCACAGCGCTGCTCTTTGTTACATTCCTGCTCATCTACATTACAGGTCTGGCTTGGAACCTGTCCCTCCTCGGGTTAATAAGCCTGGATTCCCACCTGCACACACCCATGTACTTCTTCCTCAGTAACCTGTCCTTTATAGATCTCTGCTATGTCAGCTCTACAGTGCCCAAAATGCTCTCCAACTTCTTCCAGGAGCAGCAGACTATCACCCTCATGGGTTGTGTTTTTCAGTATTTTATCTTTTCTACCATGGGGCTGAGTGAATCTTGTCTCATGACGGCCATGGCATATGACCGGTATGCTGCCATTTGTAACCCACTCCTCTATTCCTCAATCATGTCACCCAATCTCTATGTTCAAATGGTGCTGGGATCCTACATGGCTGGACTCACAGGTTCTTTGTCTCAGATATGTGGTTTGGTTCAGCTCCACTTCTGTGGCCCCAATGTCATCAGACACTTCTTCTGTGACATGCCCCAGCTGCTAACTCTATCCTGCACTGACACTTTCTTCATTCAAGTCCTGACTGCTATATTAACAATGATCTTTGGGATTGCAAATGCTCTAGTTATCATGATTTCCTATGGCTATATAATCATGTCCATCATGAAGATACCATCAACTACAGGCAGATCCAAGGCATTCAACACCTGCGCTTCTCACCTGACAGCAGTTTCCCTCTTCTATATTTCCAGTATTTTTGTCTATTTGACTTTCAGCTCTGGTGGCTCCTCCAGCATTGACAGATTTGCATCAGTCTTCTACACTGTGGTGATCCCCATGTTGAATCCCTTGATTTACAGCCTGAGGAACAAGGAAATCAAAGATGCCTTCCAGAGGTTGCAGAAGAAGCTTGTCCACTGCTAAGGATATAGACTCTGAGATATCTGACATATTTGGCCAGTCGCACTCACTCCACAGTAATGTGCCCATGACTGGGACTCTAAGTTACACACTGACTATGGATCAAGAAGATTAATTGACATAAAGTAGCATACCAGTATGGACCAAAAATGACTGAATGTCAGTAGTCATCCTGGAGAGCATGTCAATTCATTATTCTATCAGCCAATATTTGATAAACCAGTTTTAAAAACTTTTTACCTCCATTTGTTTCTGTGATTGAAGTCTGCTGTAAGTCTCCTGTATCTCAGGACTCTGTCTTTAAAGACGACTGCTGGCTGAGGTCTCCAGTATCCAGCAACCTTGTCTATCAAATGTTTTGGTGCTACATCCTGCATACATGGTGGTAGCACTGATTGTTCCTTGTTTCTGAGCAGGTTGGCTGCACACACAGTGAGGGCCGTTGTTTGAAGGAAATGAAGCCTCCCAACGTTCTGGTTGAGGCCTCTGCAAAGATCAACCTTAGACAGCTAAGCATTTTCTCAGGCACATAGTTCTAGTTAGGGGGTAAGGCTTTAGTCATACCCCCTGCTTTATTTGCTATAATTTAAGGAGGGATGGGGGAAGGAGAGGGAATGAAAAGATCCTCAAAAGACCTAAGAAATGTTATGTACATGTACCAACTCTCAAAGATGAATGTAATCATGTATTCTAAATAGATACTAATAAAGATGAAAAATTTTTTTAAAAAGAAGAGAACAATTTGAATTATGAAGAGAGGTGGCAAGGGTGATACAATTTCTTGAAAGTATTCTTTAGGAGTCTGTTCATCTAATTCATTGCTTCTAGAATCCAATAAAGGTTTATGATGGGATTTGGTACTTAGAGTCCAAGTAATCATCAATAGGGTTTCCTGATATTGTGGGAAACTGACTTCTAAAAGCCAGAGAATTCACCTTTGAATAATGTGGTCAGTGACATTTCACCATCAGATTGAGACAGGCTGAGAAAGTAAGGAGGTGAGGAGGTGGAAAGAGGGAAAGATTAAAGGCTAAATTGCCAGTGGATCTAGGGCCCTGGGTCTGAACAGAGGACAGGAGATCTGCCAACCCTAGGAGTCCCAAGGAGCCTCAGAGTCCACCAACACATTGTTTTTAAACTTTAAAGAGATATTTCTTTGCATCCAAGTTTAGGTCTGAACTGTACACATACTGCATTAGCATTTGTGTGAACTTTGTGCTTCATGAAGCCATGTCACATGGGTTCTTTCTTCATCTTCTTGTCATTTCCTACATAGTCTCACAGGTAAAAATAATCCCCATTTTACAGATAGAACGTTTGGGCATACTGGGCCCCATTAGGCTCTTGAAGGATAGGTGATAGTCCCTCACAAATCTTACAGCACATCACATCCTGCATATAAATTCTTTGAATTAATTGAAAGAAAATTTCCTCAATTGGTTGGCTACTCTGCTCAGACTTCATGCATTTCCTGTTCTTCACAACTATGTGGAGATGCTGTTTCCTATATTTGTTTATTCTCTCTAAAATTCCACATGTGCATGAGGACTATAGATAGTAATATTATAATATATACAGGAATTTTGTTAAACAAAAATTTAACTATTCTTGCCACAAACAAACTGATAACTATGTGAGAAAATGAGCATGTTCATTTGTTTTAACCAGGGTAATAATTTTAATACAGTATGTATCTAATAATATGATGTTGTATACATTAGACATTTGGTATTAAATTTATTACTCACAGAGCTCAGGTCTGGGAGGCAGTGGCCAGCCCTGCCCCTACATGCACACCAGCTGCCATCAAAAATGTTTCCTACTGCTGGTAGCCAGCATAGGCTGGGAAAACAGCAGTCAGCCCCACACCAGCACACCCAGTGGCCACTGTCAGATATCTGTAGCCAGCACTGTCCAGGAGAACCAAGCAGGCAGACTTCAGAGAAATTGTAGCCAACACATGAGATGATTGAGTCCCACTATTCAGTTGTCTGGAAGAACCCAAGAATATGTCAAGATGAAGAAGCAGACTCTGTTCTCCAACCCAAGCAGAGCAAGCCCAGGAGTTGTAAACATTGAAGAGATTGGGAGTTGCACACCTGAAATTTCTGAAGTGATAGCAACTGAGGTAAAGAAACATGAGGCTAATGAAAGAAATTAGGACCGAAATACTCTCTCAGGTAAAAAAAAAAAGAAATGAAAAATATAATAAAAGAATTGCTAAGCACCTCTAAAGAACACATAGATTTAAAAAATAGAGCAACATAGGAAAATGAAAGAAACTTTGAATGAACAATATAAGAAAGATTTAGAATGTATAAAACAGATTCAAAGAGATATATTTGGAAACTAAAAACTCCACTGAAAGCCAGCAAAACCACTTGAAAAAGACTGAAGGTAGGCCTTATGACCTTGAAGACAGATTTACAGCTAACAATTGCAAAAGTAAAGATCCTTAAAAATAACAACAAACCAAGAAATAACAATTCAAAGGCTGTGAGACAATTCAAAGAAAAATAATTTAAGATAATAGATGTCATCAAAAAGCAGAGGTCATAACAAATAATATAAAAAGTCTATTTACTGCAGTAACAGCATAAAACTTCCCAAGCATGAGAAAAGGAGATCACATGCAGAGATAAGCAAGACATATAAAAAAACCAAACAACCATAAGCAAAGTAAATGTACACCCAGACATATAATTATCAAGATCCCAAAAATTCAGCACAAGAACAAAATATTAAAAGCTATTAGAGAAAAGAAACAGATCATCTACAAAGGAAAACCCACCAAAATCACAGCAGACTTCTCAACACAAGGCATCAAGTCAAAAGAGTTTGGAGTAAAGCATTTCAAGTCCTGAAAGGAAACAACTTCCAACCCATATTGATGTACTCTGAAAACTATCTTTCAAAATTAATGGAGAAATAAGATACTTCCATGACAAAGAGCAACTGAAGGAATTCATGACCACAAAACGAACCCTACAAAAAAATATTGAAGGACACTCTAGAGAGAGATAAAAATTACCACAGTTCCAGGAACAGTGGCAGAGGGAGATCACCAAACATGGCAGACATCTGAATGGAGGGGAAAGATAGGCAGTCAACAGCAGGAAAATAGCAAGGCAGAGATGAGCCAGTGAATGTTGGCCATAACTATTAATGTAGATGACCTCAGTTCAACAATAAAAAGAAACACAGGCAGAGTGGATCACGAGACAGGATCCATCAATATACTTTACACAAGAAACATGTTTAGCTCAAAAGAAAATTCATAGACTGACAGTCAAAGGAGAAATAACAATGCCTTTTGTGCCAGCAAACCAGAAAAAAAGCAGGAGTAGCTTCCCCATCAACTTCAGAAGAGATAAGAAAGTTATGTCATTTTTATACAATGGAAAGCTACTCAGCTATAAAGAAACAAGACCTCAAGGCTCTTGTAGTTAAATGGATATAATTTGGGATCATGCTCATGGGTGAAATGGTTCAAAGTCACATGGGTCAATATCATATTGTCTCCCTGTATTGTTTTCATTTATATGTTTAGCTTGATTTTATTCCATTTCATTTTGTTAATTGTTTTGTTTTATTTTATTTTATTATATGTGATAGCATATATAGCTATTTCAAAGATAATAAAATATATTATGGTACCATTGGGATTTACTAGTATCTTGTTTCAAAACTCTGTATTGCTTTCAATATTTTGCTTTGATTGATTTTATTCTAGTTTGTTTTCTTTGATTTTATCATGTCTGATGTCATAGGTAGCTCCTTTGAAGATAACAAGAAGCATTATGGTAGCCATTATTGATTTACTAATATATTATTTTGAAGTCTTGTATTGCTTTCATTGTTTTATTTTGATTGGTTTTATTCTGTTCTGTTTTGTTTGATTTTATGATGTTTGATGGTATAGACAGCTATTTTGAAGATAATGAGAGACATTATGGTAGCCATTATTGACTTCTTTTAATCTGGTTTTGAAGTCTTGCATTGTGTTCATCATTTTGTTTTGATTGACTCTATTGTGTTTTATTTTGCTTGGTTTTATTTTTTTCAAAATAAAAAAAAATTAAAAATGTATCACTAAGATAATCCATTCACTTTTAAAGATGAAATCATTTTAGAGCCATACCCAGACCTCTTTCCATGAGTCACCACCAGTCACAGACTTTGGGGGAGAGAACAAGGCCATATCAGGAAGCAACCCTGTCTGGGAACCCATGCCAGGCTCAAGCCACTACCAGAATGGGTACAGCCAGACCCCAACCCTGTCCAACACGCAGACAGGCTGCCAAAAAAGAATTACCAAACCCCACCCCCACCCCCATAAACAACCAGCTAATTAAAAGAAAAACAGGTTTGTGAAGACAACTATGGAGGTGAAATGCAATTGGATGCCTGTGGTGCTCTGGTATTCCGCTGCCCTTGCAGGTCTAGGGCCAATGGTCTGATTATGTGTTCAGAAAATGGCAGTATGAAGTGTAGCATCTAGGAGGGACCTCCTTGTGTGAGTCTTAGCCATTGTTGGTTCCATATTGTTTTGTTTTGAAGTATTGTATCATTTTCATTGTTTTGTTAGGCTGAGATTTATTCTCTTTTATTTTGTTTGATTACATCAAGTCCAATGGCAGGAACACCTATTTCAAAGATAGTAAAATATATTATGGTAGTCATTTTGGATTTACTATTGGCTTGTTTTGAGGTTCTTTCCTGCATTCATTGTTTTGTTTTTATTCTTTTTTCTGTTGTTTTCTGTTTGATTTTTACTATGTCTGAGGATATTTGCAGCTATTTTGAAGACAACAAAAGGCATTATGGTAGCTGTTCTAGTTCTGTATCATTTACACTGCTTTATCATTAGATTGCTTTTATTTTCCTTGGTTTTATCCTCTTTAAAATATGAAGAAAGAAAGAAAGAAAGAAAGGAAGAAAGAAAGAAAGAAAGAAAGAAAAAAGAAAGAAATCATTTTAGTGTTTTCCCACGATAACATATA